TTGCCTCAGCCTCCTGAGTAGCTTGGACTACAGGCAGCTGCCACAACACCTGGCTATTTTTTGTTGTTGTTGCAGTTTGGCTGGGGCCAGGTTTGAACCCGCCACCCTTGGTATATGGGGCTGGCTCCCTACCCACTGAGCTACAGGCGCTGCCCATATATTCAGACATTCTTAAAAATGTTCCATTAACTGAATTGAGTACCCCCCAAAATTATCGTTCTTTATTGTCACATCTACATTAACATAATAGTTCATTTTTATCAGAAGAATTTACTTGACTTTAAAGCAGAAACATCAGTTTTAAAAACTATTTCCAAGTTAAGCAGTTTCACTAATTCTTGTCTCTCCTCAATATAATTCACACTGAATTCAAAGGAATATTTTATAAATTAAAAACCAGCTGTAAGTCTGTCAATATTGACTAAGTGTTCTTTTAAATTTTTCTTGTAGCCATATTTCAAGTGCTCAGTACCCACATTTAGCTAATGGCTCCTGTATTGGGTACTGTAGTTCTAAGTTTGATAACAGCAGTTGCTATCTCCTGCTTAATACAGCCTGGGATCAGTTTGTAAAATTCTCAGTGGTTGTTGACAGTGTCATTGTCTCATCAAGAATCAACCCAGTGCTTTCTTCATTTCTTGCAGGTGTGTGTAACTGGTGCGTGCACCGTTTTGACCATCACTGTGTTTGGGTGAATAACTGCATTGGGGCCTGGAATATCAGGTACTTCCTCATCTACCTGTTGACACTGACAGCCTCAGCTGTCACCCTGACCATTGTGTGCACCGCATTTCTGGTCCACTTGGTGGTGGTGTCAGATCTATATCAGGAGACTTACATTGATGACCTTGGACACTTGCAGATTATGGATACAGTATTTCTCATTCAGGTAATTATATTGTGGGCTGTAAGTTCCTGACTTCAGGTTTCAGAATTGGAAAGAGAATACTTATTTACTCAATAAAAACACGAATCTATTCCTATTTTTTAAAAAAAAGATATAAAATTTATGACTAGGCACAGTGGTTCACATCTGTAATTCAGCACTTTGGGAGGCTAAGGCAAGAGGATTCCTTGAGTTCAGGAGTTCAAAACCAGCCTGGGCCATGTAATGAAACTCCCATCTGTACAAAAAAATTAAAAAAAAATTTTTTTTAAAAATTGATATAAAATTCACCCTTTTAAAGTATATTGGTCATTGATATTTAGTATTTTCACAGCATTGTGCAGCCATCACCACTAATCTAATTTCAGAACATTTCATCAACCCAAAAAGAAATACTCCCCATTGCCTCCTCCTGCCCACCTCCTGGCCCTGGCGATCACTAACCTACTTCCTACTTTTTGGTCTGTATGGATTTGCCTTTTCTAGACATTTCCTATAAATGGGATCATATGACATGTGGCCTTTTACACTGACTTCTTTCTTGTAGAATAATGTTTTCAAGGTTTATCCATGTTGTAGCATGACTTTGTACTTCATTCCTCCTGTGGCCAGATATTATTCCATTGTGTGGATATCCCATACTTTATTTATTCATCAGTTGATGAACATTTGGATATTTTCACTTTTTGATTATTTTTGAATAATATTGCTATGAAAATTCATGTACAAGATTTGTATGGACATATGTCTTCATTTCTCTTGAGTATGTACCTAGAATGGTAATTGCTAGGTCATATGGTAAGACCATCCTGGAAGAACTACCAGGGTGTTTTCCAACTTGTGTGTACCATTTTACTTTTCCACCAACAATGTATGAGGGTTCCAATTTCTCCACATCTTTCTCAACATTTTTTGTTATAGCTATCCTAATGGGTATGAAATGTTATCTCATTGTAGTTCGATTTGTATTTTCCTATGACTAATGATGTTGAGTATCTATTCATATGCTTATTGGCTATTTGTATATCTTTGGAGAAATGTCTGTTCAAAACCTTTTGCCAGGCTGGGCTTGGTGGCTTATACCTTTAATCCTAGTATTCTGGGAGGCCAAGGTGGTGGATTGCCTGAGCTTAGGAGTTCGAGACCAGCCTGAGCAAGAGTGATACCTCGTCTCTACTAAAAATAGAAAAATGAGCCAGGCATTGTGGCAGAGGCTTGTAGTCCCAGCTACTTGGGAGGCTGAGGCAGGAGGATTGTTTGGGCCCAAGAGTTTGAGGTTGCTGTGAGCCGTAAGACTACAGCACTCTACCCAGGGGCAACAAAGCAAGACTCTGTCTCAAACAAACAAACAAAAAACCCTTGCCCATTTAAAAAATTGAGTTGTCTTTTATTGTTACAAGAATTCTTTGCCTATTCTGGATACTAGATCCTTATCAAGTATATGATTTGCAATTTTTTTCTCCCATTCTGTAAGTTGGCTTTTCACTTTTTTGATAGTTTTCTTTGAATCATGAGGATTTTTAATTTTGATAAATTCATTTTATTTTTTTTTTCTTTTGTGGTTTATGCTTTTGTGTCATATCTGAGAAACTGTTTTCTAATCTAAGGTCATAAAGATTTACACTCTATACTTTCTTCTAAGAATCTTTTTCTTTTCTTTTTTTTTTTTT